TTGGCCAGGGCCGGGTTTGGACCCGCCACCTCCAGTACATGGGGCAGGCACCCTACTCCTTGAGCCATAGGCGCTGCCCCATTTTTCAAACTTTTAAGTAAGGGAGTACAAATAGGATGGATAGAACATGCTTTTAAAAAATTTGGCTGTAAGGCAGCACCTGTAGCTCAAGGAATAGGGCGCTGGCCCCATATACCGGAGGTGGTGGGTTCAAACTCAGCCCTGGCCAAAAAAAAAAAACTGCAAAAAAAAATGAATAAATAAATAAATAATTTTTTAAAATGGCTGTAAAAGGGAAGAGACAGGTACAAAAGAAGGAAAGGCATACATACGCAGGTGTTTTATAAATTTGTTTTTGAGACAGAGTCTCAAGCTGTCACCCTGGATAGAGTGCTATAGCATCTTAGCTCACAGCAACCTCCAACTCTTGGGCTCAAGTGATCCTCTTGCCTCAGTTTTTCTATTTTTGGTAGAGATGAGGGCTTGCTTTTTGTTCAGGCTGGTCTCGAACTCATGAGCTCAAGCTATCCACCCTCCTTGGCCTCCCAGAGTGCTATGATTATAGGCATGAACTACCAAGCCTGGCCACACACACACAGGTTTTAAAATTTTTTTTTTAGACACAGTCTCACTTTATCACCCTTAGCAGCATGCCGTGGCCTCACAGCTGACAGCAACCTCCAGCTCTTGGGTTTAAGCGATTTTCTTGCTTCAGCCTCCTGCATAACAGGGACTATAGGTGCCTGCCCCAACGCCCGGCCATGTTTTTGTTGCAGTTTGGCCGGGGTCAGATTCAAACCTGCTACCCTCGGTATATGGGGCTGGCACCCTACTCACTGAGCCACAGGCGCCGCCCCACATAGGAGAACATATTCCAGCATTTTCTCATGGCCGCAGAATTACACAAGTGAATTTTTAGGCCAGTCCTAACAAGTGTATTTATCTCTGTGCCCATATAAAATACATTATTTGTAGTACATATATACAAATATATTGCAGATAAATACACCTCAATCTCTTATTAACAGTAATTTATAGATTACTTTAGTTGAAAATGGTACTTTGTTTATTTGATTCTTTTTTTTTTTTTGACACCATCTCACTTCGTTGCCCTGGGTAGAGTGCAGTGGCATCATACCTCACAGCAACCTCGAACTCTTGGGCTTAAGTGATTCTCTTGCCTCAGCCTCCCAAGTAGCTGGGACAAGCCAGCCACAACACTGGCTATTTTTAGAGGTGGGATCTCGCTCTTGCTCAGGGTTTCTCCAACCCATGAGTTCAGACAATCTACCTGCGTCAGCCTCCCAGAGTGCTAGGATTACAGGCGTGCACCATCATGCCTAGCTGTACTCTTAGCATCGTATATTCAGAAGTTCTCATACTAGTAGGTCCATTTAAGGCCCTTTATACCACTATCTTGAATTTTATGGACAAAAATGTTAATAATTTTCAAATGTCTGTTAAAAACATTCTAAAAATATATATTTCTGTAGATACAGGGAAAAGACTAAAATAAAGAGCTAGCTGTTTAATATGGCTTTTGGATTATAGTGTTTTCTTTGTGCTTTTCTGTATTTTCCCAGTTTTTTTTTTTTTACACAGAACATGTTACTTTTGTAGTCATGAAAAGCATTTTTAAACTTTTTAACTTTTGATATGATTGTTTGCTTTTTGTCCTAAACTATTAGGTGTTTTCCTACCAGTCTGCAACATAAAAATCCATGTTATTATCTTTATTGAGTTATTTTGAAGTTAGTTGATACAGAAAAAGGTTTTGTGATATAGGAGGACAAAGTTATGAATAATAAGTTAATCAGTCATAGACCAGCTTTTCTGGTTGAGAAAACGTACAATTTAAAGTTGCTGTCCAGGGCAGCGCCTATGGCTCAGTGAGTAGGGTGATGGCCCCATATACCGAGGGTGGCAGGTTCAAACCTGGCCCTGGCCAAACTACAACAAAAAATAGCTGGTGTTGTGGTGGGTGCCTGTAGTCCCAGCTACTCGGGAAGCTGAGGCAAGAGAATCACCCAAGCCCAAGAGCTGGAGGTTGCTGTGAGCTATGGCCACGGCACTCTACCAAGGGTGACAAAGTAAGACTGTCTCTAAAAATATATAAAGTTGCTGTCAAATGGTTACTTATTTTAACAAAAATGTCTATGATGTTTAGTAGATGATTTCTTTTACAGTTAATGAGTTTTTTTTCCATCTATTTTATATTTTTTCTAGGTAGTCAAGCCGCACGCTCCATTAATACGATTTCCTGACAGAAGAGATAATCCTAAACCCAATGGTAAATTGTATTTTATTTTGTTTTATTTTTTTTAATTTTATTTATTTATTTATTTTGAGACAGCGTCTCACTGTGTCACCCTCAGTAGAGTGCTGTGGCATCCCAGCTCAACCTCAGACTCTTGGGTTCAAGCGATTCTCTTGCCTGAGCCATCTAAGTAGCTCAGACTATAGGCGCCTGCCACAATGGCCAGCTATTTTTCTGTTGTAGTTGTCATTGTTGCCTAGCTGGCCCGGGCTGGGTTCAAACCCGCCACTCTCAGTGTATGTGGCTGGCACTGTAACCACTGTGCTACAGGTGCCGAGCCTATTTATTTTTTTTGAGACAGAGTCTCACTATGTCACCCTTGGTAGAGTGCCATGGCATCACAGCTCACAGCAACTTCAAACTCTTGGGCTGAAGCAATTCTCTTGCCTCAGCCTCCCAAGTAGCTGGGACTACAAGTGCCCCATACAGTGTCTGGCTATTTTTTTTTGGTTGCAGTTGTCAATGTTTAGCTGACAGCGTATGTGGGTTCGAACTCGCCATCCTTGGTGTATGTGGCCAGCGCCATAACCACTGTGCTATAGGCACTGAGCCAATATTTTTTACTGTTTTGAGACAGTCTCACTTTGTTGCCCTTGTTACTATGCTGTGGCATCACAGCTCACAGCAACTTCAAATTCCTGGGCTCATGTGATTTTCTTCCCTCAGCATCCCAAGTAGCTGGAACCACAGGTGCCTGCCACAATGCCTGGCCTTTATTTTTTTAGAGACAAAGTCTCACTTTATTGCCTTTGATAGAGTGCTGTTGCGTCACAGCTCACAGCAACCTCCAACTCCTGGGCTTAGGCGGTTCTTTTGCCTCAGCCTCCTGAGTAGCTGGGACCATAGGCACCGGCCATAACGCCCAGCTATTTTTGTTGCAGTTTGGCTGGGGCCGGGTTCGAGCCTGCCACCCTCAGTATATGGGGCCAGCGCCCTGCCCACTGAGCCATAGGGGTCACCCATGCCTGACCATTTTTTAGAGATGGGGGTCTCCCTCTGGCTCAGACTGGTCTTGAACTCATGAACTGAGATAGTCTACCCCCTTGGCCTCCCATGAGCCACCCTGCTGGGCCTGATAAATTATATTTTAGATTTATTTTTAAAAATTGTGTATACATATAAATGAATATCTTATTAGGCAGTATTTCTCATTTTAAAGTCAGGCTGTTGTAGCTTAGTTCAGAATGGTACCCTATGTCACATGCAAGCAAAAATTAATTTATTTTATTTTTTTTCTGAGACAGTCTCATTTTTTGCCCTCAGTAGAGTGTCATGGCATCATCATAGCTCACAACAACCTCAAACTCCTGCACTTAAATGATCCTCTTGCCTCACCCTCCCGAGTAGCTGGGACTATAGGCACCCACCACATCACCCGGCTATTTTTATGGCAGCATCTCACTCTTGCTCAGGCTGGTCTCCACCTCCTGAACTCAAGCAATCTGCTGTTCTCGGCTTTTCAGAGTTCTGGGATTACAAGTGTGAGCAACCCCGCCCAGCCTATTATCCTTAATTTAAAAGGTAGTGATCCAATAGTAGATATCTGTGAATTTTTAGTGACATTGAGTTAATATGGGAGAGGTTTTTTTTTTTTAATTTTTTTTTTTTCAGAGATAGAGTCTCACTTTGTCACCCTCGGTAGAGTGCTTGCTGTGGCATTACAGCTCACAGCAACCTCCTACTCCTGGGCTTAGGTGATTCTCTTGCCTCAGCCTTCGGAGTAGCTGGCACTACAGGTGCCCACCACAATGCCTGGCTATTTTTTTGTTGCAGTTTGGCCAGAGCCGGGTTTGATCCTACCACCCTCGGTATATGGAGCCAGCGCCCAACTTACAGCCACAGGTGCCGCCCAATATGGGAGAATTTTTCTCCTACCTTTCTTCTCTCTTGCCTTTTAGAAGATTCCCTCATACTTATATGTACAGAGATGGTGAAGATTAACATTCTTATATTTATTTATTTTGTTTCATAAAATGTAAGACTTAGTCATTCCTGTGTTTCTTTTCCAGCCATTCTTTTCTTTCATTCACTAATTTGTCTATTCATTCAGTCAGTAATTACTTTTTGGATTGCTTTAGTCCTTAGCATAGTTATTCACTATAAAATACCTAAAAATTAATGGGAGAAGACTCTCAGAAGGTTCTATTTTTTGTCTCATCCCTTCTTCTTTTGCTGTTTTTTTTTGAGACACAGTCTTACTCTGTCTCCCTGGGTAGAGTGCCCTGGCATCATAGGTCACAGCAAGCTCAAACTCTGCAGCTCAAGTAATCCTCTTGCTTCAGCCTCCTAAGTAGATGAGACTACAGGTGCCTGCCACAACACCTAACCCTGGCTAGTTTTTCTATTTTTAATAGTGATGGGGTCTGGATCTTGCTCAGGCTAGTCTTGAACTCCTGAGCTCAAGCAATGCACTTACCTCAGCCTCCCAGAGTGCTAGGATTATTTCTTTTTTTTTGGAGACAGAGCCTCAAGCTGTCACCCTAGGTAGAGTGCTATGGCATCACAGTTCACAGCAACCCCCAACTCTTGGGCTCAAGCAATTCTATTGCCTCCACCTCCCAAGTAGCTGGGACTACAGGTGCCCGCCACAACGTCCGGCTGTTTTTTGGTTGCAGCCATTATTGTTGTTTGGTGGTCCCAGGCTGGAGTCGAACCCACCAGCTCAGGTGTATGTGGCTGGCGCCTTAGCCGTTTGAGCCACAGGCGCCAAGCCTACTTCTTTATTTTCAGTAGCCATGCCTCTCTTCATACTTGATTTTTTTTTTTT